GAGTACAAAAAATAATTTGACATCAATCTCACGAATATATAACATTTCAGATGCACAGAGTAGATTTCTTATTATTAAGAGAATAGGTAAGGGTATGCAGGTAAAACTTTACTAAGCAACATCTAAGCCAAGCCCACACCACAAGTTGAAATGTTCCTAAAAACATGTTTTTATTTGCAAAAGATATTGGAGTTTAAGAAATTTTATCGAGGTCCTGCCATATACATGAATCCTTATATTTAGTAACAGAACGTTATGTAAATAAAAATACCTTTATTATATTTAGTAGAAGGATCGGTCTTATGAGCCCATAGTTGAGTGGTACGAAAAATAAGTAAATTTACGACTATAATGGACAAATGGATGTACTTTCATATAAACATATGTAAATACGTACATAAGCAGTTTTAAGTACCATTATTTAATCCATTTTATTATACTAAACCGTTGCATATTTATAGGTAAATATTTTAAAATTGTTTTGACAGTGGCCAAACATCTGTTACGCTGAATAAACTTTTTTATGGCTTAAAGCTTTCTGCTAGCCTGCAGGGAAAACTCGAGCTAATGAACCAAATTTTTAGTTCAGTACTAGTTCTTTACAAACGAACCCGTCTGATAGTAACTAGATCCTCACCTGTTGAAATGTGTTGATTTGCTAAACTTTTTTATTTTTTTAAACATCCAAACATACAAACTTTCACATTTATAGTATTAGTAAGATTCTCTAAAGTATACTGAAGCAATTCTGGCTATTACGGTATCCGACATATGCCATCCGCACAAATCCAATACTGCTCACTCATTTGTTAGTACAGTGCGAATCTGATTGGATCGCATCCGTCGGATTCCGTAATAGGCATGAATAACACAGGGCAACACTGATTTTGGTGCCGTAAGTGTTAAAGCTGTTTTCGAAAAACTTTTTGTGGTGATTACGAATATGTAAGTATAGAGTTTCTATCAGCTCCAGTTTTTTTTCGAAAACGAGGTCACAGTCTCAAAAGGTCGCTGTTTTTGCAATATTTGAGAAGCTCTAGCAAACAAAAACAAAAGCTGATAGGTTCGCTTAGACTTAAATTAAAGCTAAGCTCGATTACTGTCCCTGAAAATACCATCGCTGCACTTTGACCTGGCGTTCGATTATAGTCATTTACTAAACAATAAAAAAATACTACAAAATTGTGCCATTGGAAAAAAAATTGCCAAAATCAGTTTTTGCAGTTCAATAGATGACTATGGGCTGGTTTCTACAACTCAACTCAACTTAACTTAGTTTAGCCAATTTTTCGGGCTTAGTTAAGAATAAGCTGAATAAAAAGTAAGCTAACTTTTGATTTAAGTCCAACTAAGTTAAGTCTTAACTAAGTTAAGTTGAGTTGGAGAAAACTGCCCTATAAGTGACCTTAGGGTCAAAGTTCAGGTATAGTAGCCGAGATTTATAGCTTTAAATTAAGCCTAAGTGGAAGGTACTACATACCACCTTTTAGCTTCTCAAATATTTCAAAAAAGGCGGGTTTTCGACACTTTGACCTGGCCTGACCTTTTCTCTAAATCTCGAGCTGATGAAAACTTTATACTTACAGATTCGTAATCAGCACAAAAAAGTATATCAAAAACAGCTTTAACATTTGCGGCACCAATTTTTTTCCATTTTTGTAGGCCTGCGTAATCAAGATCGATGCTCAATAAATTATGTGTGTCTATATGTACATTAGGGTGTCCCTTAGCCATATGGCTAATTTAAATTTTTGTTATCCAAAATTTTAGGCCAATCGGATAAAGTTAAGGCATATAAATAACTGTTTTTTTGCTTAACGTCTTATTTTGGTTGTTTATGTTTTTAAAGGTATTAATTTAGAATTAAAATAATGTGAGCGTGGCAGCCACCTTTTTGAACAGTTAAAATTTTTACAAGGTTTTTTTAAGTGAAACTGTGCCTGCCATGGTTTGAATCATGAAGAAAAAATTTAAACTTTTACTTTACATTTCAAAATTAAAGCCTAACAGTCATCCCTAATAAGCGCATTGAGCGTTACACTAATATAATTATATTTTAAATAATAAAAAGGTAACTTTTTGGTTTTGCTTATTTGTTTTAAAGTTGAAATAGGCAAAAGCTACATATCGTCACCTGAAATGCAAAAAGACGTAACAAACATCGTCGCGGAGATTCAAAAAGACGTAACTAATAAAAAATTCAAAATTGACTTTTTGATTGATATGTCTAGCATATTTGGCCGAATTTGGGAGTTACATCTTTTTATTGAAAAAAAAAACAAAAATATTAGTCACGACTTTTTACGTTTCACTTACGATGTTACGACTTTTTGCATATCAGGTGACGATAAATATATACTGTTTAAAAATATTTTTATTTCGAAATAAATTTGCCTTTGCATTTTCAAAATCTTTCTTCTCGCTCTAATTTCTTCACCTGGTTTAATTCAACAAAGAAACAAAATCAGCGTCAAATTTGTATTTTTATTGTATCTATATTAGGGGGGTCCAAAAACAGTAAAGTCGGAATTGTAATGCTCTCACCTCCCAGGATTGTTCTATATCGAAAAAAGTATACCCCTATTTTTCTATTTTGAAATCAAAGAATCTTTAGAGGGCGCTTAAAGCGCTCAAAGTTTTCCATGTATTTTTATATGGGAAAAATTTCGTAGCAATGGTATAGAATTCTTGAAAATCCATATTTTTCGATCGGAAAACTCTGGTTCTTTTCAGGAGACTTTCAATAATAATACCCAATTGTTTATTTAACCATTTTTTAATACTAACGATTTTTTATTGGTCGCCCGATTGCATTCTTCGGGGTTTTCGTGGGTTTTTGGCGGACCTATATATTATAGCTGCGATGAAAAAATGCTTAAATGAAAAATTGGGTATTATTATTGGGAATTTCCTGAAAAATAATGATTTTTAACTATTCTATACCATTTCTACGAAAAGTTGTTTTTTTCCCAAATAAAATACATGGAAAACTTTGGGCGCTTTGAGCGACCTCTAAATATTTTTTGATTTCAAAATAAAAAAAGGGTATACCTTTTTCGATATAGAACAATCCTAGGGGGTGAGAACATTAAAATTCAGACTTTACTTTTTCAAATGCGTTTTTGGACCACCCTAATCTATATACGTTGAGATGTGGTTTTCTGCTCCTTTTGCTGTTTTAGCACCATACAATGATTTTATTCTTTTGTCAAAACTTGACCAGTATAATAAAATAAACTGATGCAGATATATCCAGAGTTTAAGATAAAAAATATATACCAGCAGAGTCATATCAAAGTACGAAATCTCGTGTATAAACACTGCATGCCGAATTGCTACCAGTTACCGCGTACAACAGGTCAAAGTTTACTTTTCATTAAACTGACGTGTACGGTAAGCGGTTTAGCGCGCTCTAAAGCGCTTTATAACTTTCAAAAATAAAAAAGGAAATTTTTTTATTAATGATTTTTATGTAAACAGACAAGATCTTTCGATTGAGAAGACCAAAAAAAAATTGAAAATCACCATAATCGAGAAAATTAAAAAAAAATCCTTAGAAATCATGGTTTTCGAATTATTTTTCCCATTTTTTGTCTGCTTCTCAGCTAGTGAAAAAGCAGCTTTTGACATGATATGTATCTTTCATACCACTTATTGTTCACATATGAGTTTTTGTGATATATGTACACTTGTATTAAGTTAAGTGACATTTTCAACATTTTGGGTTATTTTCCTTCTATTTATTTAATGTTCGTTATTTTTTTATAAAAGGCCAGGACCATTATAAATGCACATTTCAAACTTTTCTAAAAATTCAACAAACTTTACCAATTACACTTAAAAATTTCAAACTTTTTATTCAGGTATTAGGTATGCACTAGAAAATCGCAATCATTTTTAATAATAGTAGGAAGCGTTGTGCATTTTCTTCCATATAAAGTATGCCTGATAATTTTTTCTATATGGAAATGGTAGTTTCACAAGCTGTTAATACACTTACACAGAATTTATTACATTTTCTTAAGAAAAGTATCAGGAAATACATACATACGTATTTATTTGTTGTACCTATCATCAAAAGTATTAACATACACGTGTATATATTTCTAAGAATACACAACTGCTAGTCCTTAAGGTGAGATTAAAAAAACTTCGATCTACGAAGAGATTGCACTTCCATCGGACTCAAAATATGGACATAGAAAGGAACTAAGACGCACATCATAAAGCAATCTAGAAACTAAGCTTAAGGTGCTATTATTATTAAATTAAATGAAGGCTTATCAGTTGAATGTACATATGTATGTATGTAGTTTTGTATACTTTGTTATACAGTCCATCAGGATGAAAATGGGACCTGCTAATAATGAAATAAAATACAAAAATTGAACAAAATTTAATATAAAATAAATTATATTATATGAAAAAAATTTGAAAATAACGTAACGGTTATAATAATCTTATTACTTATCCTAAATTTTATTTTCTGAGCGAAAAATTACGATTATTTTCCAAGCAATAAATAAAACTGAAAAAATAACTATAAAACTTGATCATCGCTGAAGAAAATAATTCCGTTCCATAACATCAATATTCAAGTGAAGGAGTAAGTGAAGGACAGGTTCGAACTTCAAGAGAATTGGATTGTTTTCTTAGCTTATACGAACCTAAACCTTTGTTTATTAAGCTGATATCTGGCTCATCTCTGTACTACCATCTCTTATCTTGTTGCAGTTAGAACAAAACACTGTTAGTGTGCGGACTTATTTTTCAAACTGTACTGTAAATCAGTAAATGTTTATATTAAACTGTAGTCATATTATTTTAATTTCCTAGGAATTCCCCATTGTTCATGTGTGCATTTACCAATAATTTCAGTGTACTCATACAAATATGTATGTATGTATATGTAAAATCCCTAAGTAAAATAAAAACATATCGCCACACAAATACTCGTACTATATGACCCCACTGCTTATACTATTTAAGCATCGAGAAAATGCATTTCTCGTTATGTGTAAATTAGTGATCGCGTCAATCAACATGTCTAAAGCAATCGCAATTTTAACTGGCTTCTTGTTCGCACTGATCTCGTTAGACAGCTGTGCAGGATACTCAGCACACGGTCGACCACCGCGTCCCATCACTGATGCTGTTCTAGCCCGCCAACTGGTACATCAATCCAACTGGGCTGCAGTGGGTAGCATATCGCATAATGAGAAGACCGCCGATTATCCAATGGTGAACGTAATCGCTGTAGATGATAGCGCTTTGAATGGCTCCTCGACTGGGCGGGTACATTTCTTGCTGGCGGATTTTGACTTCACTGGTGCCGATGCATTGCACAATAACAAAGTGACATTCTTCTTCAGCGAAGAGCAGACAGGATCATGTAACAAGCGTGGCGTTAATCCCATGGAACCGGCGTGCCCACGCATCATGATAAGCGGGCGTGTTCAGAAGGTGAGATGCTTTTATATTAATTTTATGTTTGGCAATTTAATTTTCCCTCTGCTTGCTTTTTAGTTGGACACAAAAATCCCAGAGTACAATGACTATATGGAAGCATTCAACAAACGCCATAAACATTCAAAAATTTGGGTCGAAGGTAAGAGAATTAAACTTATACTTATTTACTTATCATATGTATTAAGACCAGTTAGACTTTCGTTACGTAAATTAGTGGTTTTGGTGGTCCATAACCATATTTTCTGCTAGTGAAATATTTTGAATGACATCGAACTATCTTTTTTGGCATTTTTTTTATAATACAGGCAATTACTTAATTTCAATTCTAAGGATTTGCGATATACATTGTATACATAAGTACATATTCGTTTCCCATCTATTTAATTAAAAAAAACATCAACAAATCGTCACTGGACAACGCAACGATATTATTGTTTCCTGTAATATTTTTTACTTAAGCATTCAAGGGTTAAATCTCTAAACGAAAGTCCCAAAATTCTCGACTTGCCTTGATTTGGTCTTTAAACACTTTGTGAGCAGAAGGAGGTACAAGATCCCGAAAGCAACTATTCTTTCGTTTGAATATGTTCGCCTGCAGCTTTCGGAAAGCGTAAAATACGTGGACCTGATCGTATATAGGAAACTGTGGTGGAAACCTAACTTTGAGCAGAGAATTAGGATGGCAGGAGATTGTCTTACGGTCTCTAAACCAAAGTAATTTTTTTCCACTACAACGCCAGAGTTAATCCCGTAATGTTATATGGAGTTCTCGTCTGCTGAAAGTCACTAGATAGAGCAACACAAGTTAGTTAGCTACACGATGTTCAAGAAGCTACCGCCATTGGTATTAGTAGTGTATTGCGGAGCAGTCCATAACTCCTGTTGTCATATAAGACAAAAATGCAGAAGCACGGACTTCGACTAGGCCCAAAGAAATTAGATGCCTAACAAGCTCAGCGTCTGGACACTCTAAAACTCTTGAAGGTTTCAAGTTCAACCCAGATTGTTTGGATCACTGCATTACTGAAGTGACTGCGAGAAGCAATTTCTCTACACATATTACCTCAAGGGCTGCTTAAGTGGGGCGAGGTAGCTGAAGGGAGGGATCAAAGTTTTGTGGAAGAGTGGGCAGAGGTTATTTTGTCATGAGTTCTCCTTCTAAATCAAGTTTAAGCTTCCGGACTTCTGTAGCGTGTTTCAGGCAGAAATGGCTGCCATTAAAAGAGACACACTGCTATAAATCTCAATAAAAGTCAGTAAGGGAGGTAAGCATCTGAAAGCCAAGCGGCAGTCAGTGCCAAAACTATAGGACTTGGCACTCTCTACTAATCGCGTCGGAATAGTTTCCAGCTATTTTTATATGGGAAAACTACATGGCTGAGAAGTTGGCGAGAAGGCATATGCTGGAAACTGCGATAACTGTGGGTGGAAGCACTACTAATCACCTATGGTGATTGGATAGATGTGCCTCGTACTAGCTCATTGGACGCTGGGTGATGGCGGGGGTTTTGGGATGGTGGGGGTTTTGACCGGTTCGAACGTAATTTACGCGATAAGATCTGAATGTTGATAAGCTTGAATCGCTTCACCACTTTCTACTAGGCTGTAAAGCTTTCGCAAGGCTAAGACTGAAGTATATTGGCTCTCTTCTTATAACCAACTCCAATATTAACACCAGTCATTTACTCCTTTTCATCGATCGAATAATGTCACACGGTATCACAAAAAGGACAACCCCTAAAATGTCTAAATTTGTCCCCAACTGGTGACTGACATCTAACCTAACCTACTTGTGAGCAGAATAAATGCACAAAAATCGTTTAACAATAAGATCTTTTAATTTCCAGCAGACTTTAAATACAAAAGTAGGCTCGAGCACCCCCTGCCCCTATCTAGCTACGTCAAACTTGTCTCCACGGTACACTTTTTCAAATAGGAAGACAGTTTTTTTTACATGCTCTTTAATCCCTCGTTTAGTGAAAGTCCCTGGGAGCTTATAAAATTTTTTGAGATTTTTATTCGCACTGCAAACACTTGTTTATTATTATTAGTTCTTATCACGGCATGTATTTGATGCCGGTCAGAATTGTCTGATATGTACATATGTTTTCGTTGGAGACTTTTTAATTCAATAGTTTTTATAAAGTGATAATATTTTAAAGTAATATATATACACATATATATGTATTAAAATGATTACTTATTTACTAATTACATACATATTTTTTTATTTATTAGTTATTTTTTTTTATAAACTGTTTTTGTATTTCGCAGCGCATAATTTCTATCTGAGTGAATTGGAAATTGATAACATCTACATCGTAGCCTATCAGGGCGGTCCACGAACAATAAACGCGGAAGACTATTACAACGCACATTTGTAATTTAAATATTTTAATATTATTTAGTTAATCAATGTTAATAAAAAATGATTTAAACAATCAAGCAGCTCATTTTGTGTCAAAAGAGTAGAAACCAGAAAAATCTATTTATTATCGAAAGCGACCATTGCCTTTCATTATTGAATGGCAGGTGCAGCGCAGATATATCTTATAAGTGCATCGCTTTGTGTTTGGATTTTCATTCCTTTTTCCTAGCTGCTACGTACTTTAACGTATGCATCTTCTATTACCGCAGGTAGCAGTAGTTGCCTAAACTAGTTTATCTTAGCCATCAACATTCAATGGGGTAAACGACATTCAAAAATCCAATTACGTGTTCATTGATATGAAAATATTCTTAATTTTAGTTCTTATTTAACACGCAGAGAGATAAGTACACTCGGTGACTTTTGGTTGAAAATGAAAGAGTTTATAATAGTTAGATTTTTCTACTTGTGCTTGAGTGTTTCATTTGGATTAAGCAATGCAGCCATTGATGAAGATCGTCAATATTATCAACAATTCAAGGTAATGTACATACATACTAGGAAAGCTAATCCCGTGATGCCGGGTTCCCGACCTGTTTGAGGACCCAAAAATCGCGGGATTCTTGGCAAATAATTCCGAGATTTTCGGGATTTGTAATTTGCACTGATGGAAATAATAGAAACTCCCTTTCCTAACCATATATTTCTATTATACTTATTTCTTTTTTTATTTAATAATTAATATTTTTTTATAGATGTCAAGCACATTGATATAAACTCAATAACATCCCCGAATTTCGTCCTTCTAACTTTATCAACTTAAAAAGTTACCTATTTGTCCTTGTGAATCCAGAAGTTTTTAATCATTTTAGATTCTAAAGAACTTTCCTCTTTAATTTGGTACCCATATTTTTATTCTAACCAGGCATTGCATTAAATCAAATAATTGTTGGAATTAATTATATCTTTGAAAATACAACATCCTTTAGAATAAATAACTACGACCGAGAGAAAAAATAAAAACGCCTCTTTAAATAAAAAAGTAGGTTTCAAATCCATTTATTTATTATTTCTTATGGTAGGAGAGCTTTTCAAACAATATACATACATAGACGCGATTTTCTCGGTTTAAGTTGTTGAAAAGTAATGAATATCTAAATCCCGGGATCCTGGGATTGTGATAACGACATCCCGGGATCGTAAAAAGCGAAAAAATTAACATCTCTAATACATACATATCGTCGTTTAAAGTACAAAACCGCGTCTCTACAAAATGCACAACGCGTATGTGAGGTTGCATAAATTATTTTCTAGAGATTAAAAAAGCTCATATTTCAAAATGGTGTGAGCAGGTCAAATTTTTGCAGAGCTGGGCGATAAGTATTACGATTACTAAACGATTAGGATTGCAGTAATCCCAACAAGTTAAAAAACAAGATTACAATCACAGTAATCCTTCATCGAACGAACTTAGATTAAGATTACAGTAATTGTAATTTTAAAAAAGGTTAAATTACGATTACTGAGGTTTAATTCCAACGCTGAGTCTGGGCTCATACTTTTACTTATGGCTCCAAAACGTACACCGGGTCAGAATCTCTATATCGAAGATAATGGGGATGAACTTCATGTTGAGCAACATGCTCCGGTATTTCAACCCGAGGTATTTACAACCCTCAAGGCCATGGGCTACGTGGCGGAAAGTAGGTGAAGGCGCAGGGGTTTACGTTTCTGTAGTGACAGCCAAACTGCGCTGAAGGCAGTGAGCAGCTCTGTAACTACTTCCAGATTGGTTCGACAATGCAAGTCTCGAACAAATTGTGTTGAAAACCACAATGAACTTATTTTACTCTGGGTGCCAGGTTACTCGGGAGTATCTGGTTATGAATCATCTGAACATTTGACCAGAGAGGGCTCATACCAGGTATTCCTCGATCCGAAACTCATTATAGCACTTCCACCTTCGGCCATCGAAGTCACCATCACAAAATGAGTGAATATTTCGCTCGACAATGACTGGGAGGCTTCGAGGGGCTGCAGGTGAGCGAAACTCATGTAGCAAGGGTATTTGCTTTCATTGAATAGATTGGACTGTATACAACCTGCAGGGCTGTTGGCTGTACATTTTATGTGGCACAAACATCTGACTGAGATCGGTATACATGGCAACCCTATTTAACCTTTTTGCCTTGAAGAGGGTGATATGGCGGAACACTTTTGGGGGCTCTTCCCGCCTTTGAAAGAATCAAGTATGAGTGTTTGGCAGCGATGTGTTGAGAGACGAACAACTGAGCTCTTTGACACCAAACAACGTGCTTCGGTTTCTTCGTAAATCACATAGATTTAAACCAGTTTACAAACCGATTATTTAGTCCCACAAAAAATCTCATCTCACCATTTTGTAAAATATTTGTTTCTTACAGTTGGTTTATAACAAACATTATGAAACTAATACGGAAGAGCGAAAGAGGGAGCGTTTATTTTTAAAGAATTTCGCATTCATCGAAGAACACAATCTGAACTATACAAAAGGACTAACGAACTATGAATTGGGAGTCAATGAATACGCAGATTTGAGCGACGAGGAGTTTACAAACATCATGATTGCCAGCGACGATGGCATTGAGTAAGGTTAACGATTTATTTTATGTAAAAAGTAGAAGAAAAACCTTCTGCCTCTTCATTTTCAACAGTACGCAAAGTGTTTTTGAGCAAGGCGCCACCTTTATACCGCCAGCCAATGTCGATTTGCCCGATGCAGTGGATTGGCGTGAATTAGGTGCAGTAACGGAAGTTAAAAAACAAGGTAAGCTTATACATATACATACATACCCTGCAGTAAAATTTAGAGACAGTCTGACAAAGCGCTAGTTCCGAACTTCATATATCAGAACTATCTCTGAACTAGTGCAAATTGGATGCAAAGCGGCACAGTTGAAACTTTTGGTGTGCTGGTTGTGCTCTGTTGAGAAGTAAATGCACAAATTCTCACTTCTCGTACAATACTAAAATAGCTCAGCGGGAGGACCTCCGACTCTAACATCGTTGGTCGCGAGGTCAAATCGCGGTGCAGGCAGTTGTGATTTTCAGATTTAATCAATTTAAATTGTTGAGTGTCGCTTAAAAATTCAAGAGAAAATGATCAATGATTTAGTATAAATAAAATTAGAGAAAAAAATAAATAAAATGCAATCTGTAAAAGAACAGAAAAAATTAAAAAAATATCAAAAAATCGAATAATCAAAATTTTTTCATAAAAAACTTATTGTCGCAGATCTGTCCAAAATGGAAAGAGTTCAGAAAAGAAAAAATTATCCAGAACTGTCAAAAATGGAACCAGTTCAGAACTAGTTCGAAAGTTCTGCAGAGGTGGCAATTTCCACTTCGTAGAACAACGCCATGTAAAAGGAGACAGTTGAAATCATTGCGTTGGTATAGATCGAGAACCAGAACTGCCTATTAAAGAGCTAGTTTTGCGCTAATTCTGAACTAGCGCAATTTACTGCCGNAGTTTTGCGCTAATTCTGAACTAGCGCAATTTACTGCCGGGTAGCTCAGCGAGAAGACCTCCGACTCAAGCATCGTTGGTCGCGAGTTCAAATCGCGATGAAGGCAGTTGTGAGTTTTCAAATTTAAAGAGTTTAAATTGTTGCATGTACTTACAATATTTTTTTTTTTAATAAAATATGTAATAAAAATGGAATTTGTAACAGGAAAGAAAAAACGAAGAAAATATCCAAAATACGAATCTTAAAAACGGTTCCTTATAAAAAACTGTCCAAAACGGAACCGGTTAAAAACTAGTTCCAAAGTAATGCACTGGGCGTCAATTGACACCGCCAATGACATCGCCGTATAAAACTGGATAGTTGAAAGCGTTGCTTGGGTATTGAGCTAGAACTACGACTGTCGACAAAAAGTCTAATTCTACGCTAGTTCAGAGCTAGTCAGATTTTCTGCAGGGTACCTGTCTCAACCGTGCTCCATAGATTATATCGATAAATGTTCTCACACTTTCTTCTTTTCTCTCTTCTTTTGTAGATCTTTGCAGCTCTGCTTGGGCTTTTACCGCTATTGGCGCATTGGAGGGACAATATTTTCGCAAAACCTCTAAACTTATTTCACTTTCAGAGCAAAATCTAATAGACTGCACCATTCCCTACGGTAATAAGGGCTGTCGAGGTGGCACCAAAGAACGCAGCTTTTTGTATGTGCGCGACAATGGAGGTATTAACTCAGCCGCCGTGTATCCATATCGTGCGCAATTAGGAGCTGAGTGTTTGTTCGATGTGTCTGCGATTGTGGCGAAGAGCAAAGGATTTGTTAAACTAACGCCAAACGATGAAAATGCTCTAAAGGCTGCTGCAGCCACGGTGGGCCCAATTGCAGTTAAGGTTAATGCGAAATGTTTTCGTAAGAAATTCTATAGGCAAGGTATTTTCGATGATGAGGCATGTAAGGAGCGCAAATCGAATCACGCGATGCTTCTTGTGGGCTATGGACGAGACAATGTTACTAATAAAGACTATTGGATATTGAAAAATTCATGGGGTCACAGTTGGGGTATGGATGGTTATATGAAAATACCGCGGCATGTCAATTATGGAGGTATCGCAATGCGTGCGAGTTACCCGTTGATTTAAATGTACATTGAAAATTCGCATATATGTATTTAAAAAAAAAAATAATATATCATCGAAAATAATCAATTTTATTAAAAAAGATGCTTATTGTCTCGGGTATCCAGAATGAAGTAGCTAATCTTTATATTACCTACATATGTATATATGTACATATGTAAGAACATTTTTTAAATTATTTGTGTAGGTGGAAGTTTTTTTTAAAAATGTT